CAAGACTTTCATGCTACTAAGTCTAAGCCTACCTCTAAGCCAGTATCGAACGTGATGTAGACCTATGGCAGCATCTCCCCTATTTAGGGGGGGTCGCCAGAACTGCCACCTTTCAAAATATAATCTAACTCCTTTAAACTAAGAAAATTTTGGCAGCGTTTCCCGTAGGAAAAGTACCTTCTCAGAATTTATACTAACTCAAGTATGAAAACAAAAACAATCTCAAATTCTGGAAAGTCAAATTTTGTTCAACTCTCTGAATTAGTAAAAATTTGGGCAGCATCTCATTTAGAAAGGTAGACTTCCTAGATTTATACTAAGTCAGATAAGAACTCAGAAGCCAAACTTGACTTCGATTTAAGACAAAGTTCAACTAACCTCTTAGATTTGTAGAAATTTCGGTAGCGCTTCCCGTAGAGAAAGTGTTATTCCAAGATTTATACAAAGCTAATTTCAAAATCTAGAAAATAATTTTGGCTTCCCAAAGTTCAATTTTGTCGAACTCCTTGAATTTAGCAAAAATTTGGGCAGCACTCCTTTTAGAAAAGGAGATTTCCTAGATTTTTACTAAATCATATATATAATTTAGACAAACTGAACTTTTGAAAGCCAAAATTTGAATAACTCATTGGTTTTGTAGAAGTTTTGGCAACGCTTCCCTTAGAGAAAGTAGCTTACTAAGATTTATACAAGACCAAGTATAATAAATGACCCAGAAAATGTAGAAATCGACCTAAGTAAAATAAACTTTGCTCGGAAAATGCAAGAATTGAAACTAACTCCCATCGCTCTAGCACGTGGCGAGTAGCTAAAGCAACTACCTATCAAACTGAAACTCGGACTAAGCAGTAGTCTCACTCAGCCACATGCAGGTCAAACCACAAAGGTAAGTACTCTCACCAACCCCAAGTCAACCTTGTCAAACAATAGTTCATAGTCTTTCAATGATTTATCCCTTTATACCCAACTTACATAGGGCATAAAGCTAGACCACCCAAACTTATGAAACATGTCTAGCTCAACCATTTAGTATACATAAACATAGGGCACAACAACTTTTCTCTTCTTTGGGCATATGACTAGGCCACCCTAGCCGCCCTGAATTGTTTAAGTATTCCAGTTTTATATAATTATCTGCACTTAGTCTTTTGAGGTAGCATATAACTGAACCGATCATCTTTAGCTCAATATTCAATCTGCCCCTTCGTACCACAAATTTATTCTTAGTTAATACTCTCTTCAGTTTGTGATAAGTTATACTCAGACCACCCAAACTTATGGAACACTGTCTGACCAGCCTGTTCATAGATAGAATAATAATAAAGAAACAGAAGAAACGACGTCAACATTTATTAGTCGCGCGAGCGGTGGCGCGCCAGCCATCAACCGACCAATCAATCAACCGGCCGTCCCCGGACACACCCAGCTCCAAACCCAGCCATATGAAAAGAAGCGACGAAAAGGACGAAAAAGCAAGGGCACTGATGCAATTTTCCACCGATCTCRATCTCCCGTAATTRGCCCAACCTTCCCAGCTTAGGACCCCTCGTTGCAACCGCGCAGAAAATCGCGCGTTACAGAAAGTGGTTCGTCACACAGGGAGTTTGAACCCCCTCTGCAAGGTCTGTAGTCGCACGTTCACACCTAGCTCCCGAAGTACCYGTGCAAACAGGGCTTGGACAGTGTCCGCTTCAACCAGGGCTGAGTGGGCAAGTAGGGGTCCCCCGCTCATTCCCTGGGATCCCACAACAATCAAGGCCGGCAGGGAATTTCATGATCCAAAAAAAGGATGAGAATATTGGTTTTCTCCTTTTCTCAGCAACCTGCACAATTAATCTGGCAGGCCTTTGCTCAGTCAATTTTTCTGATATCCTGCTCAGTCAATCCTCTGGAATCTAGCGTAATCAATGCTTACAGTTTTTTTCCGGATACAGATTATCTTGTCTTTCCTCGTTTTTCTGAATCATTCTGTACAAGGGATGCTGAACCTGTTTTCCAGCAAGTGATGCTCCCCGCTAATAGAGTTTCAGCATGTGCGCAACTTTGGACCAAGACCACCCAAACTTATGGAACATGTCTGGCCCTCTGCCTGATTCGTTCCCTTTAATAAAATAGGAAGGGGTTGAGCCACCCAAACTTATGGAACATGCTCAGACCCCCTCGTTCAGAATCAAAAGAAACTGAGAAAACTCAAAATAAACAAGGCAACCAAGCCACCCAAACTTATGGGACACTGCCTGGTTCCTAAAAAGTCAAACACAAACAACCCTCGTTAGTCAGAGCAACCAGACCACCCGAACTGATTTCCTGTCGCTTGCAAATACCACAGGGCGGATACCCTTGTAAGGATATTCGCACCGACAACTTACCGAACCATATTCGCTTCGCAAAATAAAAAAGCTATCAGTTCATCCATAATCCAAATGCTGACGAAAAAGAAACCAATCTGATTAGCTGACAGACTTCGGGTCGAGGCTTCTATCAAATCATGCCAACACAACTGTATGCTGTCAGGATTCTAACCTGGGTCTCCATTGTCCTGACATTAGGACGTCGGGATACTGGCACTATACTACAGCATAAGTTCCAACGACCTTTTCATTGTCCTCTCCCCTTTGTCCTAGACAAACGCCGGCTTCTCGTTAAGTATTTCTAGTCTCCACCCTGCAAGCAGGGCCATAACTAGGGACTCGGGCCCTAACCGAGACCTTCGAAGACACTCTTTCACCTTCCTCCCTAAATTCTCACAATCAAGTATATATATATATATATATATATATATAATCTTATCTTAGACTCTTCCTGCATCTAGTACAGGAAGATCATGTCTCCATCCTGGCCCACCATAGTCTGGGTGATCGTGCCAGATCTACGGCCCACGGCGTTGTTATTATAGCGGTAGTGCCCTCGCAGGTTGTGCCACAATAGACTTTCTCCTGATAAGCATTCAATCAGGACTCAAAAAAGACTCGACTCTTATCCCACGCTGTCCCGCAGGAGTAAAACCCTCTTAGGTGACCACACCCCTTTAAGTTTTTACTCCCTTGGCAAGACGTAGGCCCGCTGTTCAGGTTACTCCGATCAGCAGATGACATTAGGGGTTGCACCCTAGTGATGCTAAACTTTACCGTTAGCTTGGTATTCTCATAAATGCCCTAAGATTAGCACAAGTGGTTGGACGGTGTGTCGCAACAATACAGGCCTACTGCGGGACTACGCAAAGGTCTGTCACACATAAAAGGCATTTACCAACCCTCTGTGGGACAACACAGAGAGCGCGGCAGCCTCTTTTACAAAACAAAATCACCGCCAGATTCACAAGGTCATGACCTCCCAACTTGATCAGAACAAGAACGTCGCATCTCAGCTACATTTCCCAAATAAATCACTCTTGCGACCTCCAAAATTTCACCAATGGCCGAACAAAAACGTGGTCCTTCTCGTCAGTCTTTATCATTCAAAATCAGCTTTCCATGCCATTAAATCTATTAACCACCTTTCATATGAAGGAGGTCTCACGCAATAGGTCTCCCAGTCATCCCTCTCTCTCTAGGATGAACTTTCTCACGACCTTTCTTTAAAACATCTTCCCTCTTTGAAGACGAGTCTCCAAATAAACAAAAGACTGGCTTCCCACTCAAAAGACGTCTATGCCATAAAACAACTCAAACTGAGAGACCAACTTATGGGTCATCATCACAACTCAGCAATAAACATTCGGCATGGTAAGCATTCGAGTCTCAAAGACTCGTAAATGTCTTAGGATTCTCACACTCTTTCACAAAAACAGACTGCACTCCCTCTCCTTATACCCGGCCCTATTATCCGCTCATGGCCAGATCGCACGAGTATACCGAAGAGTAGACAGTTCACATTCATTCACATTCAAGAAATACACAACACATGAGATGTTTCCCATACATCCCTCACACAAAGCCATCATACATCAGGATAAAACCACACATGTGAGAGTGATTGTGATCGTCATATACAAGAGAATAGTCTCTAATAGATCTCAACTCAAAGCACACTCAGAGATGAAATATCTCATCCGAACACACAAGTAGCAGTCCAAATCCGCAACTCACTCGGACCAAACAAAACCCTCCTAAATATAGTACAGGACCGGCCGTACTATCATAAATATCATGAAACAGAAACCGAATCCTCCTCTCAATGAGTCAGAGAAAAGGTATCCTCAACATACACATAGGATCTCACTGAGTCTTGACCCTCATGTTACTGAGAAGAGCCTCAATGACAACCATATGTTGTATTCACCTATATGTACAACTAACAGTGTAGGTACCCAAGCTTCTAACAAGACAAAAAATAAAAACAAAGATAAAACTAATATCTGACTTAAACTGCACACTCCACTCAACCTCGCCATGTCATAGTGGCTAACCGTACATAGGCGATCCAGTCCGTACTCACTCACCTCCTCCTGGTTCTGCCTATAGAACTGAGCTCTACCCCCATCGGCAGTCCGCTCGACCACTCGGCCCTGCCTATCGTACATCCTCCCACCATTCTCAGTAACATTCCCTGCTGCCTTGTCCTTCAGGAACTTAGGACACTGCAATGCCCTATGTTCCCCTCTCTTGCAGAAAAAATAGGTTGGATCATATGACTTCCCGAGCCTCTTTTTCTTCCTCTGAGACCCCGGTGACAAAGGTGTCTCACTGGCCTCCCTGGTCATCTCATAGCTCTGGGGCATGTCCATAGGCTCCTCCGGTCTCACTTCCAATCCCTGAGTAATCGGCTCCGTCCACATCCCAACTCCCTCGGGCCTGTACTCAGGAGTGTCTTATTTCTGAGGTCTACCCTTGCAGACACCCTCCATCGCAACCACCTCCTCGTCCTCATGAGGCTCCTCCACCCTCTGCTCAGGCATAAACAGACTTGCTCCCTCCTGCATAGTGTCGACTGCCTCAAGGAGCACATCATCGTCCCCTCATCGGATCCAAGTGCAGGCTCGCTGACAGCTGTTCGTGGTCCGTCTCCGGCTTGTGGTGTCGAGGACTCCATCGCAGGTCCTGAAGAAGTCATAGGCTGGGGGGCAAGCTCAGTAGGGGCCCTAAACTCAAAGGCCTCCTTCTCTACCTCCCTCTTTGCCTTTGCTTCCTCTGGATCCAAGATGGCCTTCCCAATAGATGGTTCCTGAGAGGGTCATGCCAGAGATGGTTGTCTTGATAGACCCTGCGTCGCTTCGCCCTGGATATCACCGCGACGGCTCTCGGTCCAGTCCACCCCTCTAGTGGGTGGCTCCTGGTCTCTCCTAGTTGTGGTGTCCTGAAGATGCTGCCTCATCTCCTGGATGGTGGCAGCCTGACTGGCTGTCAATGCCCTGAGCTCTCGAACCTCAGCCTCAACAGCCTCCAATCGTACCCCATGACTTACTTCTTTAATCTTCTTGTCGGCCAGATCATCTTCCAGCATCAGATACCTATTGAAAGAAGTCTTGGCCAGGAAGCGGATCTTACAGTCCAGGTACTCAGTTGCTGACCTCGATGTCCCAAATCCTGCCCTCTCTGGAACTGCCAACCCCTCGCCATATGAGCCCCAAAACTCATCCCACATCTCCTTGACTCCACAGGGTTTAGGGGGTGCGTCAGGTGGCTGATCTGGGAGTGCTCCAGCCGCCTCTAATCTCTGCCTCTCCTCCTTAATCTCCTCCACACGCTTCCCGACCCTGGCTCGTCTCTCTTCTGTTGTCTCTCTTGTCGGCGCCCTCCCTCTCGTGCGATGGTCCTCTCTCTCTGGAATCTCGGCCAACGCCTCTTTCTCCGCCTGGTGCGGCTCCCGTGGTGGCTCCATAGGCATTGGCCTCTTGATGTCCAGGTGCTCCTGAGCATGCGCAGCCAGATACCTATCGATTGTGGAAAGGGCCTCTCTCCTCCAGCCATTCCTCTCTCGCTCCATCTCTATCCTCACCCCTGGCGATAGAGTCGTATCTGGGGGAGGTAATGGAATCTCTCCCCGTTGGAGCTCCCTCCCTGCCTCTTGGGCGACATCCGACACTATCTCAGGCCCGGTTTCTGGAGCTGGTGTCCGAGGCGGAGTATCCTCTCCAACCTCTATCACTTCCTCCATCACTCTCCCTCCCTGAGCACCCCGTTCCACCTCTCGCCCTGGCTCAGGGACCTCCTCTCGTGGTACACCCCCAACCGGCTCGTCGCACCTCTCCTCAGTCTGAGGCACCCTCCATCGTGATATGTCCAGGTGTGCCTCCAACTCTTGCAATGGTCCTCCAGATGGTGGCATCTCCTCCAACACGCGTTGAGGGGATCCTCTCAATCCCTCTCTAGTGAAACGATGAAAAATCATCGGGCCAAGCCGGCACTCAGGGTATGCTCCCTGCTCCCCTGTCTTTGGTACTGACTCCTCTCGCAAAGGCCTTTCGTCCTCCTCGAGATGGGATTGCCTCTCTGGCCTCAGGGCCCCTCTGCCTCTTGCTCCTCTGCCGCCTCTCAACCCTAGGCTGAGGTGGCTCTGGTCGTTGAAAAGCCTCTCTCAGGTGTGCCCTGCAGCTCTCCTAGTCTCGAGCCATATCCTTAATTTGACGAGCCAATGGTCTCTCCGCCTTCCTGGTCCATAGAGGTAGTGTCCGCGCCCACTCATCCCTCAATACGTTTTGCTCGTGCATGAAATGCTCAAAAGCAGGGATGAACTCCTCCACATTCCCAATCTCTAGGTGGATCGGCACACCGTCTGGACCCACGGGCGATGGCCTCAACTCCTGCATCCTCATCTCCACCTCTGGCCAGGTCCTCGTCTCCCTACGGATCCGCGCGATGGGCTCCTCAAATCGGCCAACTCCCCTCAACCTCTCTATCCTCTCTGCCATTGTCCACCCCATGTGCTCCGCATATCTCCAGAACTCGTTCAGGAAGAGCTTTATATCCCCGTCGTCATACACGGGCGTGTGCTCCCTTCGATGAGACCCATGCCGCCCGTAACCCCTTGATGCTCCCAATGGCCTCCGTGGTGGCCGCGTCCCCCTCCCTCCTCTCGGTATGGCTGTCTTCGTAAAGTCAGACCTGCATAACAGGCGAAGGAGACGACAGACACAGATTGGGGTAAGCAAACAGGCGGAACAGAACAGGCCCAGGCCAAACCAAGCACACCCATCCAATCCACACATTCTATTACCCACACCCTTCTAGGACTTAACTATCAATCTTTTCTACATTCATAGGGTCCTACCAAAGGGGTTAGATCGCTTGTCTCACCTCTTCTCTTGCCACAAACTTTTTCAGCCTCGTTCCTGGTACCCAATCCTTCCACTCTGTTTCATCCAGCTCCTCAATCTGGTAGGCGCCGAAATCCCCACATCGCACAATCCGATATGGCCCTAGCCACCTTTTGTGGAGCTTCCTAGACCATTGCTTCTCCAGGGACGAGTCATATAGCAGCACTACATCCCCGACTTTCAATGGTACCTTTCGTATGCGGGCCAACTGGTCCCAACGAGCTTTGTCATCCATGCGGCTTTCCTCCACTTGATTGGACGCCTCCTGAATCCTCTCCTCAATCGCACCCAACTGTCGTGCTCGAATATCGAGCAACACCTCGAAGGACAGGTTGGTTTCTAAGTCTTGACGTCTCCAAGTTTTCATTAAGCTCTCAATTGGGAAAGTAGCATGCCTTCCGTACCATAGCGTGGCTGGTGTGTACTTAGTGGTCTTTTTTACCGTAATGTTCTCGACAAAAAATGTTGCCCTCAGGACCTTGGCCAGGCCTACCTTCAGTCCACTTAGCCAGAAGATTAGTGATGGTGCTATGCCCCCTCTCAACTGGAGCATTTGCCTGAGGATGTGCCGTTGTCATACCAAATACCCTTACAAGGGTATTTGGTGTGTTTTCTGCAGGTTACGCTAGTGCAGCCTTGCCCATCTGATGGCGCGCTTGGGAGGAAGCCTGGGTCCTCGCCTGGGTGAGCGGCGCGCGTGGGGTATCGACGGTGAGGCGCAACCATGCGCGACCTAGGGGTGTCGGCACCGCAGGCCAGCGAGACGTACGGCCCCTTCTACAGGCCAGCGAGACGTGCGGCCCCTCGCCCCCTTGTATTTTTGGTGTTCCCTAGCGTTCGATTTATTTTTCCTACTTTTATTTTTACTGTTTTGGCTCGGCAATCGGTTTCGAGACCGACGTCGGGATCGACGGGCCTGGCTCAATTGCTACATAACCGGGCACTGGTAGTCGTCACGACAGACGACGACCCTAACCATGCGCCTCTTTCGGCGGGGTCATATGGGTCTCATGCGTGTCGGGAAAGTTGGCAAAATTCCTTTATCTTGCCCGTTTTGAACCACAAAGTGAACGGATTTGTGTGCTTTATGGTTGGTGGGTGGTTAGCCCACGGGGCGGAAGAAAGGCTAAGCAGCGGGGCCTGTTGTGTGCATACCGTCCGCCACTTGTGAAGTGCAGTGAGAGGTTTGGGTGTGAAGAAGCCTGTGGGGCTAGCGCCTGCCAGCCTGATTAGTTGGTACATCCGCACTGGGCTCTGGGCACGGTGGGTCAGGGGCACCGGAGCAGTGGCTCGCAGCGACATTACCACGCAAGTCGGTCGTCGGACAGGGGAAAAGGGTCGACGGGCGTGAGAGTAGTGGGGTCTGTGGTCGTGACTTCTCTCACTTCCCACTTGGAAAGTGTCGATAGCCTAATAGGCACATGAGGCACCACGCGGAAGCCTCAAGTGGCCAGCTGATTCATGCGGGACCCCTCTCCACTTCGGTCCTCAAAGTTTTCATTTGAATATTTGCTACTACCGTTGAGGGGCGTACGGGGCCCAGTCCACCAAGGTCCATGCTTCGGTCTTGCAGCGGGCCGCACCGTTAGTTTTGCTGACAACTGTTTGAGTGGGAGCTTGGCCGTTGGGGGACCGAGGTGGCAGTGGGCTCCACATAGGCTAAGCCGAGCAGGGGAGGTTGTGGCAACAACCTCAACAACGTCGGGCCCGGGTATAGGAACGAAAGACTAATCGACAAGTCTAAGTAGCGGGTTTTATCTGAAGTCTCCACTGAGGTACGGGAAGATTGTCGAACACAGGCCGCTGCGGAGCATCCGACTGTTGGGCGTTAAGGGACCAAGGCGCCTTGGGCAGGGGCTGGCGCAGACGAGGATGAAGAAGGAGAAGAAAGGTAAAAAACAAGAAGAAATGAACCTGGCGCGGTTTTGCGCCGGATACGTGCAAAGAAGGGGATGGTAGAAGGATGAGTGGGGTGCAGCAGGAATGGCCTAGCTCTCTCGATCCTTAGTCGAATCGAGAGAGGTAAGAGGCAATCCCAAGGTTTTGGCCCCGGGCGAGTCCGATGATGAGGTCAGAAAGGAAGGAAAGTTAGTTGAAAGAAAGATAGGATAGAAAACACATGCGTGATGATGTTGGGAAAGTAGATTTGGTGGGAGAATGGAAGTTCGATATCTTCCCCGATTCCTTATAGAATCGGGCGAGGTAGGATCCTAAGTGGGGGTTATCGGACGTTACGAATCGATTAATGGTGTTAACTTGGTGTGTAGATGACTAGGAAAGGTAGTAGGAGAGAAATAGACAGCGCGAGAGATGGCGGGGAGTAAAGAAGGAGGGAAGGAAACACATATCTCATGCATTTCCGAACGGAATCAGGCGGGTGATGATGTGAAATGGGGGTTTTCAACCATCGCGGACGCAATAGCGTTGTCAATATCAGCCATAAGTTAGTGGTTTGGTTAGTATAGGTGTTGGAGGCCGCGCAAAGGAAGACGGGGAACTCGACCATGCCGAAGAGGGAAGACGGTTCTTAACAAGTGTTTTTGCGAGAGAAGGGATAATCTGGGGGCTTTCGGTGGTGCGCACTCGATGGGGAGCTCAAATCGGAGAAGAAAAACGGGCGGATTCTGCTGACCGATTGGCAGAAGTTGCGGGGGAGAGATCTAACTTACCTGTCTGTTGGGAGTTGTGCTATATGCCAGCGAAGGTGAGCGGGGCAAAGAGAGAGACTGATTTACATGCAATCGCATTCTGGGTGCTAAGGATCCCTGCCGCGCTAGGTTTTGTATGTTGGATCTGTAGGCCGCAGTGGTGGTCGTCGGTGTTTGCGACTCGTAGTGGTCCGAGTCCTTTCCTTGGTTTAGCTCGCATCGCTTTGACTGAACCTGGCCGAGCAGATAGCCAGGTAAATCCGTATACAGGGCGCTGCAGTAGAGAGGAAAAGGAAAGCAACGAAAGGGAGCGGGAGGTTGTGCGACGTACCTAAGACCGCGTATCGGGGAAGGGGATTCATAAACAGTGTATGTACCTGATCCGATTTCGTAGGCAAAACCATCCCCGCCTTGCATAGTTGGCGTAGTAGTGAAGCGAGGCTCACAAGCCAGTAGTTGCCAGCGAGCTACTTTTTTTTATGATCCACAAAACTGGGGTTGCCGTGTTCCAAGTACTGTTTAATGGTTCAATTGCGGTTCACTGCAGTTGTGGCTGAAGTAGTAGGGGCTCCCCCTTGTGCTTATAACTGCCATATTGCGGTTATCACAAGCTTCTTTCTCGCCTCACCAGAAGTGGGTTGTTCCGAGTAGCCGTCGTTTTTGTATCCATAGTTGCTTGTTCCGGAGCTGCATAAGCCTGGCCCAGTCCATTGACCGGGTGCACCAATAGAAGAAGCGGTGGGACAAGGACGAAAGTTGGGGACAGTCCGGCCGCCCTTGCTGAGCACTGCTAAGCTTTACTGTTTTCATTCCCATTTGCATCTCGAATAAGAACACGGGGGAAGGTAGCTCTTAAGCACAAACTTTGCGGACTGGGGAGCGGAAGTTTGGTCAATGGGAGAACGGTGTTGGGAGCTGAGGGAGGATTTAGGCTCTGCAAGGGAGTTGCCGCTGGGGCTGGTTCTGAACGCCAGGAGCAGCATTCTATTTGAGTGATGGCATTATCCTTAGACTGTGTTTGGACTGAGAGGGGGCACCGTGGTTCTTAAAGGAGTGATTATACATTGCAAAGAGGGGGTATTGCAGCCATTCGGAGAGTCGCCAGGGAGTCAGCAGTTGGTGTTTTAACTTCAATTGACCAAGTTGTTGCGCAATCTGGCCATCATTGCGGGGCCCTCAAGCGATTGAAGATTGCAAGGCCCTCTCCTGGGAGTTGAGTTTGTCCCCCTCCTGTATCTCGAGAGTCTGAAACCCCTCCTTCTGTCCTTCTGACTTTAAGTCTGATCCTGGTTACGAGAGGAAGGCGGCAGGCGGGATTGCAACCCGTAGGACCGCAGTAAGACTCTGTGGGGAGTCAGCCCACCGACTGCGGGAGCTCTGCCGGAACTCGCGAGGAGTTCTGGAGGCAGGGCACAGAAAGGTAACCATTGCTTTCCTTCTATAAACCCAGTTATAACCCCTATTCGTATTCCTTGTTACGTTTTGACTGAATATATTGTGTGTACCACTACTTTGACTTTCAGTTTGACTTTCGGGACATGATTCAGTCATAAGTAGAGGAATGCATGTGTAATGTCAGTTTCAGTTTTGTTGTCTGACTAAAAGCAGATTGTGGGATTGCATCTGGGAGAAGGATGGGAGGAGGGCAGTATCGCTTGTTTGACTGGTTCAATCAAAGGCTGGGCAAGTCTCCATAAGATTGGAGGGCCGAGTGCTATGTTTATTTTTGATTGCTTGGAGGACCAGACAGGTTCCCATAAGTTTGGGTGGTCTGGTTGCTCTTACTTGCGAGGGCTACCTGTGTTTGACTTTCAGGGACCAAGCATTTTTCCATAAGATTGGATGGCTTGGTTGCCTTGTTTTATTTGGGTTTCCTGATGTTTATTAGTTTCTTCTTGTTTATTTCGAGGGGAATTCAAGTAAAGGACTGGACATGTCCTCATAAGATTGAGTGGTCTGGTCTGGAGCCGCACACATGCTGGAACCAAAAGGTTAAATTTGTTTATATCTTATACTACTTACTCATGAACAGGCTAGTCAAACATTTTTTCATAAGATTGGATGGTCTGACTATAGCATATCACAAACTGAAGAGAGTGTGAATTAAGAATAAAATTGTGGTAAGAAGGGACAGTCTGAACCTTGATCTAAGATGACCGGTTTAGTTATATGTTAGCTTAAAAAACAAAGTGCATACAGTTATATATAACTTGGATACTTAAATGATTCAGGGCGACCAGGCTGGTTAACCTAGTCATGTGCCCAAAGAAGAGAAAAGTTGTAGTGCCCTGTGTTTTTTTATATTCTATGGCTGAGCTAGATAGGTTCCCATAAGATTGGGTGGTCTAGCTTTATGCCTTATGTAAGTTGGGTATAAAGGAGATAAATCATTGAAAGATCATGAACTATTGTTTGATAAGGTTGATTTTGGGATGGTGAGAGTACTTACCTTTGTGGTTTGACCTTCATGTGGCTGAGTGAGATTACTACTTAGTTTCAGTTTCAGTTTGATAGGTAGTAGTTTTAGCTGCTCGCCACGTGCTAGAGCTATAGGAGTTAGTTTCAATTCCTGCATTTTCTAAGCTAAGTTTTTTTTTTTTTTACTTAGATCAATTCTCACATTTTCTGGGATCATTTGTTATACTTGGCTTTGTATAAATTTTGGTAAGCTACTTTCTCTACGGGAAGCGCTGCCGAAATTTCTGCAAATCCAAGGAGTTAGTCAAAATTTGACTTTTCAAAGTTCAACTTGTCTAATCTTCATATATGGCTTAGTAAAAATTTGGAAAGTCTCCTTTTCTAAAGATAGTGATGCCCAATTTTTTACTAATCCAGGGAGTTAGACAAAATTTGACTTTGGAAAGTTTTAAGATTATTTATGTTTTTATATTTGAGTTATTATAAATTTTGGAAAGGCATTTTTCCTACGGGAAGCGCTACCGAAATTTTCTTAGTTTAAAGGAGATAAATTATATTTCGACAGGTGACGATTCTGGTAATCCACTCTGTATGGGGGAGATTTTGTCATAGGTCTACCTTTCTTTGGGTACTGACTTAGAGATAGACTTAGGCTTAGTTATCA